TTTATTTTTATTTAAAATAGTGGTTAAATCATAAGTATTAGGTTGAATTTTAGGAGTGATATATGGTACTTCTTTTTCTTTATCAAAGCTTTGAATTAATTTTTTAAGAAGTTTTGCTTTAGTTTCTTGGTCCTCTATTGTATTTACTACTTGTAATAATGTATTGTAATAATGTACTTTGATCTTTACTAAGCATGTTTATAGATTTATCTGATGAACTGGAAGAACTTTGTGGTTAGTCCTAATTCATCAAATTTGATTTTCACTTTCATCAATTTCAGATTCCGAATGAATCAGAATCAATATATAATTCATAAAATTTTTAATTTAAAACATCATCCTTTCTAATTTTACTATTCAATGTAATCTTTTATTAAATTTAACAAAAATTTAGATGTATGAAAATTTAGATGTGTGTCCTTTTTTACCACAATTATAACAAGTCAAATTTTTATAAGAAGTTTTAGTTGTAGATTTAGAAGGTTGTTTATTTTTGTGTCCATGAGAAGGTTTTGTCTTCTTTTTACTATAAAATTTATCTTGACTAGGTGTAGACCTATATTGTCTTTTATAATATTTATTTCTATAATATTTTTTAGGTTTAGTTGTATTAGAACATTGACCATCACATCTTTGGTTTGATGTAAGGTTATAATCAAATTGTTTACAAAATGATCTTAATTCTCTTTTAGTTTTCTTCATTTCATATTGTAATTTTCTTTGAAGTTTTAAATCTTGACAAATTTGTAATCCTTCTTTTTGAACTATACTAATTAATTGACCATAAGTTAATTTACTATAAGGTATAGGTTGTCCATACTGTTGTTTTATATGATTTCTAACTTTTTCACCCAAAAAATAAGGTAATCCAGCCAAAAACTTTTCTTTCCAAAAGCTTTGGTTAGAATCTTCCCTTAACATTAATTGAGAAAAGTCGTTTTATAATATTGAAAATCACCTAAATTTCTACATTTAAGATTACTTAATAATTCTGCATTTTTATCTTTTAAGTGAGACGGATCGCCTATAAAATGTAATGAAATAGTAAGAATTAAAGATGACACTGCATCCTGGATTACTTCACCATTTTCATCATATATAGGTTCACCTTCATCATTTACTTGGATTGAGTTTAGTATTTCTAAATGTTGTTGGTTAGTTAGGTGATAATCCCACCAACCTTTAAGTTGACCTGTAAACCCAGCAATTAAAATTTCTGCTATAGCTTTATCAGAAATGATTGACTGGGTTTTATAAGCATTTGCAGCCATAGTCATTTGTTCAGCCATTGTCATTTGTTGCAAAATACTTAATATATTATATTCACTTAAACCAAACCATCTATGTTCCATTCATAAATAGTTGAAGCATTATATTTAAATTGAAGATATAGTATTAGGTTTATCAAATTATACCTAGGTCTGGTCCCCGATTTAACTAAGTTCTCTATGATGATTTATAGGATTGATTTCAAATTGGTTTAATATTTTTCTGAAGTCAGGTTCACTAACATCAGAGTTGGTGTTTTCTTCTATCATGTTATATTTCCCTTGATCCCTGATGAAAGGAGGAATTTCTGGGTACATGTTGGGTAGTGTTTAGAACGAACTTGGATTTTACTTAATTGATCTTTTAGTGTATTTACAAATTCATTTTACTAGAATTGAGAAATTTGGAATAAAGTTTAAACATATGAGTTTTGTACCCTTTTCTTACCTTTTAACAGTCTCAATTTTACAAATTGGTTTATCTTCTAATAAATTTTCTTAATAACGTTTAAATTGTGTATTTAAAACAAAATTAAACTGGGCATTACTAAAATTATTTGGTTCAATTAATTTATTATTTATCAATTCCCTTATATTTTAAATGGAGCACAAGACAATTCATGATCTTGATGTTTAATTTACTAATTGTTTTAGGTGGAAATCACTTTTAATTGTTTTTGATCAATTTTACTATCCATTCTGTCTTTTAATCTCTTACATTGTTAATTGGATTTTTATTAGAAGAATGTTCTTTAATAAATTTATACCAATCAAAGAATTTAATGTCAGTTTGAGTATTTAATTTATAATCTAAATATTCATATTTTAATATTTAAATATAGGCAATTAAATATTAAATCCTTCTCTGGTTATGATTTAAAAGATCAGATTGAAATTTATTTATGCAAATAACAATACTTAAAATTTCTTTTTTAATAGTAGAATAATTTAATTGAGTTGGAATCCAATGACCTGAAGTATATTGGATGATCCTTTCTTTACCATTTACTTTTTGTTTTAAAATGCCTCCATAACCAATATTAGAAGCATCAGTTTCAGGATTATAAACTGCCTGTGGTATAGAATTACTGTTAATCAACACTTTCATTTTTAAAATTTGGAATATCAGAAGTAGAAAATCCTTGGTTTTACTAAATGTTTGAATTATTGGTTTAGGCTCAGTCTCTTTAATACTTAGCAATAAATAACAAGAAGGTTATGGGATGAAGTAGGTTTATCATTTTCATCTGTAAGTTTACCAGAGGAAGATGACCCTGCATACCTCATACTTTGACTTCTATTAAATTTTAAAGTTTACTTTACCATCTTCAAATTGTCCAATTTTTTGCAAAATGATGTTTGGTTTTACTTTATCAATAACTGGAGGAGGTACACACAACCCCTTCCAAAATCCATTCATCAGGAAGTGTGATGTCTTTCCATTGAATGGTTTTAGGTATCACAGTATTGGTTTTAGTTAAATCTGTTTGAAGAAAGCGTGTCTCTCCAATTTTAGGTTGTAGTTTATACTTAGTACCAAAAGCTGAATTCATTGCTTTATAGTGGATTTTATAAATTAAAGCTATAGGAATAGATCCTTGTTTTATTTTATAATTATGAGTTTTAATTTCTAAAACTATACTTTCTAAAATATTTAAATCATTTAATGAGACAGTCATATCTGGATAGACCTCAAAAGAAATTCATATCTGGATAGACCTCAAAGGAGATCGGTCCTTCATGATTTAAATATAATGCTTCAACAATTAATAAATAGAGCACCTGATTTAGGTATGTGCATTGGCTTAACCTGGGATTTAGGTATATATATATATATATATTAGTCTTTTGTATAACGTGCGTTGCACATTGATTATCTCATTATATACTCATTGTTTATCTATATAATATTAAAGTATAAGTTTTGTTTAGATAAAAATAAATATAGGTGGTTAATTTGTGTTACACTTTGCCATACAAACTACTAGTAATGTTATTTCTTATATACTTAATTATATTTTTTTATAATCAAATGGTTTCAAAATAAAGTTCAACCAATCTCTAAACCTAATCCTTTAGTCCTAATTTCTAAATGCAAATTTTTAAAATCCTAATAGATGTCCAAAAAGAAAATCAAGCCACCACTCAAACTCTAATTCATGCCTTTAATTCTAAATTAATATCTATATGCAAATATAATGAAAAATAATAATAAATTATTTTTTATTGCTAGGTAAAGAAAAAAAATGAGAGAATGATTTGAATTAATAATAGAAATCATTTTGGCTGCGGTAGCAGTATTATTTACCCAGTGTATCAGAGAAAAGAATATATGCACATACACACAAATTCTTAAAACCTTAAAAAGTGACTAAAACAGAACCATATAGTTTTAGTTTTTTCTCAGTTTTGCTAAATACTATTTTCTTTTAAATCAAATAGATTTAAAATATGAGAGAAAAAAATATCAAGAAATTAAAAATACTTAATCATTAATAGATTATCTATTTATTACAAGGGGATATAAATCTCTTACTAAATTAAAATGATAGTAGTTACAAATTATCCAGTAACGAAAAATATAATAAAAAATTATTATTAAAAATGAAACTCTTTCAAAACTCACATAATAAAAAATATTTCAGTGTACATAGATATATAAATATATCAACAAAATATTTATATAAAATATATCAACAAAATATTAATATATATTTTAATTAAAAATTTTAAACTGTATATAGTTTAAAAATTTTAATTTTCAACTATTCCCCATCTCACACACACATATTGATTTTATTTAAAAATAAAATTTGAAAGACTTAATTATATTCAGTTTGAAAATTTATTTTTAAAAAGAATATATTTAATCAAATCATACAAACATAAAATTATTAATAAAAAGGATATATATTTTTTCTTTTTTATCTCTCTTAAATAAAATATTATATATATTCTATTCGAAAATTTATTTTTAAAAAAATATATCCAATCAAATCGTACAAACATAAAGAAAAAAATATTAATAAAAAGGACATATTTTTTTCTTTTCTTATCTATGTCCAAAAAGAATTAAATATTTATAAATAAAATATAAAATTTTGTCTCATTATCATATATAGTTATTAAAAAATAAATTTAGCAAATTTAAAACTTAAATTTTTAAATGCTTAATTATCTATATGTATTTACTTAAAAAATAATTTTTTTAATTTATTAGGAGGCCTAATAGACTGAAATAATATTGCGGGTTACACAGTAAAGAATAAACCTCCACTCACTGAATTGGTGAAAACACATGTGATCGAGAGGATTCGAACTCGAACTCGAGATCTTTCACTTCTCACAAAAGTGAAAGACAATCAAATTATATATGATTGACTTAAAAAATAATTTTTATAAATATATCATAATAAAATATAATTTTTTAATTGGATATGACTAAAATTATTTTAAAATATCTTAAATTTTATTAAAGACGCGGTCGAAAATTTCATAGTAGATATAAATATAAGTATATATATTAAATAATATGGGGCGAGTGGGTTTTACTCCCTCAAATAGGTGAATATTCTGAAGTCCGCATCCTACTGGGAATAGATTTCCATAAAAATCCTACTCTATATCGTACTTCTATGTAGATTCCGTTTACAAGGAAGATACTAACTCGAGGGTCTTTAGGGATTATTTCTTCTATCAATATAAATACTCTCGCCACCATCACATCACCATAACACCATCACATAATCAACGAGAGAGAGAGAGATCACGAAAAGAATGGTTGAAGAGAAAGGGGATATCATTCCCTTCGATGTTGAAGGAGAAGAAAAATTTAAACCTACCAATAGTAATAAGATTTTGGTAGAAGAAGCTTATAAGCACATTGAAGTGCCTCCATGGACGCAACAAGTAACCGTTAGGGCAATGGTTACAAGTATTATTTTGAGTCTTGTATTTACATTTATTGTTTGTAAGCTTAACCTTACAACTGGTGTGATCCCTTCTCTTAATGTGGCTGCTGGGTTATTGGGTTTCGGTATGCTCAAGTTCTGGACAAAATTACTAGAGAAAACAGGTTTCTTGAAGCAGCAATTCACTAGGCAAGAGAATACTGTTATACAAACTTTTGTGGTTGCAGCTTCTGGAATTGCCTTCAGCAGTACGTTAATTATTTTCTCGATTTACTGTTTGCTTTCTGTTTTTTATAAATTTTGTTGGATTTTAGGTTCTTGTGTTTCTTTTTAATGAAATCGATTATATTATTTTCTAATTTTGGAAAATTCTTTTAGGTGGTACTGCAAGTTACATATTAGGTATGAGTCCAAGGATGGCTGCTGAATCGGAGGGAGGAAATACCCCAGATAACGTCAAGACTCTTTCTCTTGGTTGGATGATTGGTTTTAACTTTCTTGTAAGCTTTGTTGGCTTGTTCTCTATCCTAGCTTTAAGAAAGGTAAGATTAACTTCAGAAAAAACCTAATTGTTTTGTTTTTACAACAAATTGTGATAATTTGTTTGGTTGTTTGGTTGAATTTGCTCAATCAATTTGTACTAACACTTGGATTATTGTTTTGCAATTTTTAGATAATGATCTTGGATTTAAAGTTAACATACCCTAGTGGGACAGCTACAGCATACCTCATCAACAGTTTTCACACACCCAAAGGAGCCAAATTGGCAAAGTAAGCATTGTTATTGCAATTCATAATGGAAAAATTAAACTTTTACTTAATATAATGCAATAACATTAAATGCAAAGTAATTCGGTTTTGGAATAGTACTTAATATAATGGGAATAGAATAATTTGTTTGGTAATTTGTTAATCATATTATTTCTAACACTCAAATATTTTGCAGGAAGCAAGTTGGCTTTCTATTCACTTCTTTCGGTGGTAGCTTTCTCTGGGCCTTTTTCCAGTGGTTTTTTACAGCGGGTGATGGGTGCGGTTTTACTAGTTTTCCTACTTTCGGCCTAAAGGCATTTGCTAATAGGTAACTAGGCTCTTTTTCAATTCACTTAACTTCAGTATTAGAACACTGTTTTGATATATATATATACACACACACACACACACACACACGAGAGATATATATATATATATATATATATATGAGAGTTGATTATTAATCATCAGTTGTGTTGTTGCAGGTTCTATTTTGATTTCTCAGCTACATATGTGGGTGTTGGAATGATTTGCCCTTACATGATAAATGTTTCTTTGCTTGTTGGAGCTATCATTTCATGGGGAATCATGTGGCCATTAATTGAGGCTAAGAAAGGTGACTGGTATAGAGCTGATCTACCTGGAAACAGTCTCCATGGCATTCAAGGATATAGAGTAACTATTACTTAAAATTTTATCCTCGCTGTATACATCTTTTTGATTCATTAAGTAAATAATACATATGCATTCAAATTTCTTTGCTTTCTATCATAGGTTTTTATTGCTGTTGCAACAATGCTCGGTGATGGTCTATACCATGTCCTTAAAATGTTAGTCATAGCCTTGACTGATTTTATACCAAAAGTAGCCAAATTGAAATCTTCTAAGGACACATCTTTTGTAGCTCCTTCTGGCAACGACAACACTGAAATTGTTAACTATGATGAACAAAGGAGAGTAGAATTCTTTTTGAAAGACAAGATCAGTCTTTGGATAGCGTTGATTGGTTACGTTGTTTTTGCCGCCATTTCTATAGTTGTAGTACCAGTAATTTTTCATCAACTGAAATGGTACCACGTTTTGGTTGCTTATGTGATTGCCCCAGTTTTGGCTTTCTGCAATGCCTATGGATGTGGTCTAACAGATTGGTCTCTCGCATCTAACTATGGCAAATTTGCTATCATCATTTTTAGTACTTGGGTTGGTCATAAGGGCGGCATCATTGCGGGTCTTATAGCTTGTGGTGTAATGATGAACATCGTTTCAACAGCATCTGATTTAATGCAAGACTTGAAGACAGGATATCTTACTCTATCGTCTCCTCGGGCAATGCTGATTAGCCAAATACTTGGTACTGCGACAGGTTGTTTGATGAGTCCTCTAGTGTTTTGGTTCTTCTACAAAGCTTACACCATAGGTGATCCTCAAGGCACTTACCCTGCACCATATGGGCTAATCTACCGTGGCATAGCCATTCTGGGGGTAGAGGGTCTCTCTTCTCTTCCGAAAAACTGCCTTGCATTATCCATCTCATTTTTCCTTGCTGCGATACTAATTAACCTTGTCCAAGACTTGTTACAAAAGTATGAAACCAAGTACAGGATCTACAGATTTATTCCGAGTCCAATGTGTATGGCGATTCCATTCTATCTTGGTTCTTATTTTGCTGTAGATATGTGTGTTGGAAGTTTGATTTTGTTTATCTGGAATTGGCGTAACAAGCAACATGCTTCTGACTTTTCACCTGCACTTGCTTCTGGGCTGATTTGCGGGGATTCTTTGTGGGGAATTCCAGCAGCTATACTTTCTCTTGCTGGCGTTGCTCCTCCTATCTGCATGAAGTTCCTTTCTGCTGCTGCTAATGCCAGGGTCGATACGTATTTGGCTGGATAATGAATTAGTGTTGGGTCTTTGTTTTGCTTGTAGTAAGGTTAATGTTGTTCTAGAACGTTTAATTAGATGCTACTACTTTAAGTACTTTTTTTTTTTTCTTTTAACATCTAAAACGTAGTTTATTAATTATATTGGCTCAAATGGCTAACAGTTAATTTTAATAAATAAATCCTCAATATTTTAAGTATTTATGGAGAATTTAAATCTTCTAAAAGAAAAATTCAAATAGAAATTCACTCAATTTCCATCTATTTGGTGACTCAATCTAATTTATAATCTTATAAAATAATAAAATTGCTAATGGATTGATAAAAATATCATGAAAACTTTAATTTCATTGGTTGAAAAATAAATTTGTTGGTTATGTTATTGTTATGTTAATTTCTTATTCAAATTTAAATTCTATTAGAAAATTTAATCTAATTCTAAATAGAAAATTGTCCTGTTTAAGATTTTAAATTATTGGTTCTTAGAATCTAATTGAATAGAAACTTTAATTTCATTTCATAAAAAAAAATTAAGAAATTTAAGCCTTTAATTTGTAAATAATCCAAATAATTTACATCGAGAAAAGCTAAAAAAAAAAAAAAAAAAAAATAAAAAAAAATTAAGAAATTTAAAGCCTTTAATTTGGTAAATAATCCAAATAATTTACATCGAGAAAAGCTAAAAAAAAAAAAAAAAAAAAGATAACACATGAAAATATACTCTGATTTGAACGTGCACAAAAATCTGGATAATTTTTTTTTTCTTTTAATTTTCATTATTCAACCTTCATTATGATAATAAGGCATCCTAAAAAAGAGCTAAATAATAAGATTTAAGATATGAAATATATTATCTATAGTATATATAAAAAAGTACGATTCGGGAAAATATTGGGTTTTCTAAAATGCTTCCACATACTTTCAATTTTATTGGTTAATTAAAAATATTATTAAGGATAATGCAGCCTTATTATATATATAAGTACGAATACGGAACATTGAGTTCCTAAAATGCCTCTACTAAGCTTATGGATAAACAAAAATATCATTGACAACTTTAATTTTATTGATTGAAAATAAAAGTAGTTAAATTTTGATTGATTATGTTAATTTTTTATTTGAATCTAAATTTTATCAAGAAATTTAATTTAATTCCAAATAAAATTGTCCAGTTTAAGAATTTAATTTATTAGTTGAAAAATATAGTTAATTTAATTTTAATTAGTCATAGTAAAGGAAATCTAATTCTACTGGATAAAATAAAAAATTATATTATATAAGATATATATTAAATATGATAAGAATATAATATTTTTAAAGTAATTTTATTAGTTGAAAAAATAAAGGTAATTGAAAAAATAAAGGTAACTTTATTGATTGATTAAAAATATTATTAAGGATTTTATTTTTATTGGGTTTGGATTTTAATTTTATTAGTTCTTAGAATCTAGTTGAATAGAAATTTTAGTTTTATTTCATAAAAAAATTAAGAAATTTAAGATTTTAACTTATAACCAATCCAAATAATTTACATCGAAAAAAGCTTTAAAAAAAAAAAAAAGATAACACTTGAAAATATACGTACAAACACTTCTGAATTCTACTATAATATGAGCGTGCAAAAAAAATCTAGAATTAATAATTTATTTTTTAATTTTCAACCTTCATTACATAATAATAAGTTATGCTAAAAAAGAGCTAAATAATAAAGTTGAAGATATAAAATATATTATCCATAATCTATGCTATATATAAATATGAGAACATGAAAAAATAATGAGATTTTATAGCGCCCTTAATAAAATTTAAATATCTTAAAATAGCTTTAGTTATGACTAATTAAAAAATTATATTTTATTAATTGATTGACTATAATTTATTAAAATTATTTTTTAACTAAATATATATAATTAAGCATTTCAAAATTTTAAACTTTTAACTTTTTAAATTTATTTTTTAATAAATATATAATTTATTTTTTAATAAATTATAATATGATAATGAAATATTTGAAAAAAAGGAATGTAAATATATATGATAATGAAATATTTGAAAAAAGGTATGTTTTTTTATAATATTTTTTCTTTATATTTTTACAATTTGATTAGATATATTTTTTAAAAATAAACTTTTAAATAGAATATGCATAATTAAGTCTTTCAAAGCTTTTCAATTTTTATTTTTTAATAAAATGGATATGTGTATGTGATGATAAATAGTTAAAAAGTTTAATTTTAAAAATATATATAATATTTTATTTTTATATCTAGATATCTATGTATATTAAAAAGTATTTATGAGGTGGTACTGTAGAATTTTAAATATATAAAGTTATAATGAAGTTTAGATAAATCATGATACAAATTGAATTGAAGTATGTGTGTATTTACACATTGCTATTTTATTTATTAACCATTATATTAATATCAATGTCATATGAAATTTTGGTTTAATATTATAAAAATCTAAATAATATAAGACAAAACTTATAATCAATATTTAATATTGAAAAAATAAAACTGATTATAAAAAATAGTAAGTAAAGTGGGTAATGACAAAAAAAATAGAACGAATACGAATAACGAGTATAATCAACGTCCAATGCACATTATAAAAAGACTAGTTAGTGTATAAGTCTATATTCCTATTTAGGGTAAACGTATATTCTCCTAATTAGGATTCCAATCATGAGCCTATAAATATACATAGCTTTTTATCAATAATAATCACTCCCATATCTTTCTCTCTATATCTCCCTACTTTTCTTATTATTTTATAACACATTATCAGCACGATTTCATTCTACCGTTTTGTTGTCCTACTGCTTTCTTGATCAAATCGCTTGGGAGAATAAGTTATGATTCAGGACAATCAAATTTAAGATTCACATATGTAAGAAGACGAAATTGTTGAATCTACTTGCAAAGTACATAAATTGTAAATATAATGTTTTGAAATATGTCGAAGGCCACATAAACTGAAGATCCTTGATATGTGATACGATTTTTAAAATGTGGTGCAAATATATTTATCACATGAAATTGAAATTAGTTATATGTTTTAGGTGGCCTGATGCTAATATATTTTATGTTGTATTGATGCTTGTAATATTTATAATTGATTTAGCTTTATTAGTTGCAATAATTTTTCTAATCATGATAGATAGTTGAGTTCTTATATTCATATTTTAGTTGTTTTATTATTTTATATGTAATTGCTAAATATGAATCAACTTGAATAAATTTATATTAAGTCCAACATGTTTGCGATTACACATATGTATTATATATGATTATTTAGCTACTGTGTTAGGCAAAGATTCAATTTAGTTGTATATTTTAATAAATTGAAATTTAGTTAACTTGTTTACTTTGATATTTCTTTTGGCTTAATAATTTTATTTTTCTTTTGCTACTGTTTTTATAAGTTCAATATTTTGAGGTTATGATATTTTATCTAAAATAATTATTTTGTTATAATATTCTTTTGCCGTACTAAATTTTAAAAAGTTTGAACTTTATGATTATTAATATTAAGATTACGAATGCGTTTAGATTTACTAGTCTTTTTTTATGACGTGCCTGCACGTTGACTATGATCGTTATATATTTATACTCTTTTAATTTTTTTATCTATATAATATTAAAGCATAAGTTTTTGTTTAGATTAAAATAAATATAATTGCTTAATTTGTAATAAATATAATTGCTTAATTTGTATTGGACTTTATCATACAATATACTTATAATGCTACTTCTTACGTATTTAATTCTATTTTTTTATAATAAAATGGTCTCAAAATAAAATTTAATCTAATTCCTAAACCTAATCCTTTAGTCCCTAATTTATAAATGCAGATTTACCCTCATAAGTACCCAAAAAGAAAATCAAATCCTCACTCAATCTCTAACCTCCTACCATCAACCTCAAATCAATATCTATATACAACTATAATGAAAAATAATACTAAATTATTTTTTACTGCTAGGTAAAGAAAAGAAATCAGCAATTTTTTACTGCTAGGTAAAGAAAAGAAATCAGCAGATGATCTGAATTGATAATACTAATTACTTTGGCTATAGTGACAGTATTATTTACCCAGTGCATTAGAAAAATGAATATGTGCAATGCATAAAAATTCTTGAAACCCCAAAACGTGACTCAAAACAGAAATATATAAATCTAGTTTTTTTTTCCAATTTTATAAACATTATTTTCTTTCAAGTCAAACAGATTCAGAATATAATAGAACAAATTAAGAAAATTAAAAATGCTTAATCACAAGAGTTTATTTATTTATTGCAAGAGAGATACAAATCTCTTATTAAATTAAAGTGATAGTAGTTACAAATTAATTCAGTAATGAAAAAGAAAATAAAAAAATTATTATTATTAAGAATAAAACTCTATCAGCTAATGAAAAAAAGAAAATAAAAAAAATTATTATTATTAAGCATAATCTCCAACATATAACAAGAAACAAATTATATTAAAAAAATTAACCATCTTTCAATTTCAAAAATTCATCCCCTTTTCTAACTGGAAACTAATGCTCGGTAAATATTAAAATGAAAATTTGATGTTGAAAGAAAAAAAAAAAAAAGATTATCACCAGCTAAGTCAACAAATGAACATACAAAGGCACACTAATCGCAGTATCCTAATTCTCTTACTTTATCTTTTATCTACATTTGCAAATTTTAAAATAAATAAATAATATTATAAACATATAATATAATAAAAAAAAGGAATTACCATAAATGAATTGTTCTACTTTCTCACACACATAAACTCTCAAAATTTATTCTCCTAAGCAAATTAACAGAAAAGAAAACACGCATATTATATTCCCATTTCTAATTTTTATACTACTATTAGTATTTAATCTTAATAATAAATCACATATTCAATTAGAAATTCAATATCCTGAAAAAAAAAAAAAAAAAGATTATAGCTAAGTCAACAAATGAAAATTACAAAGCAAATAATGCTAGTATCTAATTTTTTTTATATTTTTCTAATTTGCAAATTTTAAAATAAATAAATAAATAATTTAATTAATTAATAAAAAAAGATTACATAAATGAAAATGTTCTATTCTCACCAAATAAATACTC